CGTTTCCTTTTTTTGTTGTTGTAAATCACCGTGGGTGGTCAGGACCGGGCCACAGTATTTAGAACATTTTCCTAATCGGTGGACACTTACTGCACAGAGTGCTGATAGTCTGGCTCTTGGTGTGTGTGTGTGTGTGTGGTGAAGAGAGATTAAATGAACATGTCCTACGCTAAATGTGCGATGATGAAAGAGACAAACTGTTCAAAAGAGTCATCACAAATGTTGGAAAACCCCAAAAAATGTTGTCATGAGGAATGTGACACATAAATGCACATCCACTCTCACAGGACACGGCATCTCTGATAACAAGCTCATCTATATTTTACTGTTTGTGTGTGCGCATGTGTGAGTGCATGAGGGGTTCTCGTTATTTACATTTAAGGGGATCCGTTGGGTCAACGTGTCTACTCGTGTTACATGTTTGATCACAGCAAAACAATAAACCGAAATATGTCCTGAAGACATTTGCGGGGGGGGAATAGACAATACAGTAAGAACCTTGAATGGTATTTGATACGCTGTCTAGTTTGACAGTTTGATCGGCGTTCACATGGTCGGTTTAAGCCTAGCCCCAAGCCGCAAAATACAACACGGTTGTCAAGAGGAGAGAAGACAGGAAAAAAAGAAAAAAAGCTCTTGAAACAAGTTGAGCAAATATTTGTGGACTGAAACATGAACCGGGCTTTCTGCCATACCCTGTTGAACTACTGCTGATTACGACCTCCTTAACAGGTATGCTTGTAAGTATGCGAGTACATGACTGAAGATGATTTATTACCAGCGCGATTAGCTCGGAGCTTCATCTAGAAGACGCTCACTTCACTCGGAGTGATTCAAGCTTTCTGGTTCGGAGTGTGTTGTTGCGTCAAATCGGAGGGGCCGCGGCTTCCTGGCTTTTCCAAGGTCCGCGCCCACCGCGTGTGCGTTCCCGCAGAACGCGTGAACTGGTCGTGGGTGAAAGGTCGTGTGGCCACAGCCGCCGCGCGGCTGTAGAACACCCACAGTTTGTGGCGTGTGCGAGAGGACCGAGGATCAAGAGCGAGGAGGAGCACAAGTGAGTAAGTGTTTTATAAAGTGCGCATGAAAACAGAATGGACGAGTTACAAACACACAAGACACAGCACCTAATGAGTTAAAATCAGCAAGCCTGTCTGTGATGTCACGCGTGTGTGTGTGCGCGTGCCTGTGCGTCGACGTCACGCTCTGCGTGCGCATGGACGTACTGGTGAGTGTCAGCTCCACGCCAGCTCAGCGTTCAAATATAGCACTTGGGCAACGGTCCCAGTTGATATAACAAAGCTATGGCACCAGGACACGTCCACAAACAGTCAACGTCGCGCTACGGCTGCAACCCAAGTCGCGGTGAACAGAGGGAGGGAGGGAGGGAGGGAGGGAGGGAGGAGGGGAAGGAGACACGGAGGGAGGGAGAAGGAAGGCCTCGGATTCATGAAAACTCAGCCGCCCACACTCCGGCCTCTGCTGCCAAGGGTTGAGCAGGACAACAGTGTGTGTGTGTGTGTGTGTGTGTGTGTGTGTGTGTGTGTGTGCGCGTGTGAGACATTCCTCTGTGAGGTGGATGCCAGGCAGCGAGCAGAGCTGAAGACAGACTGTCCTGAGCTACTGTGTTTCAGTGAACGAGCCCGGCGCACCTCGGCCTCGCGGCCGTAAACTCGTTAGCGGGTCAGAAAGAACAGATGACAAGTCGGCTTTTTAAGCGACGCCGTTGGCACGTCGGTTTGTGAGAACCGCGTCTGTGACTGAAAGGTCACCGGTCTGCGACAGAAGTCAACAAAGAAAGCGGCTTGCTCACAAAAGCCCAGTGAAAATAAGACTGTCAGCGCTGCACGTGTTGTGTAGTTGGTTGAAACCAAAAGTAGACATTCAGGCACAATCGAGTTTGACAGCAGGCCCTATTTTCAGAAACGGAAAGTGTTGAAGAATGTGAGATTTTTAGTGTCACTTGATCGGTATCAACATGTAATTTTCCTTTTCATACCCAAAATTCTGCACTGGCATACAACCATCACGTGAAAGAAAAGGAGATGACAAGAAAAACACAATCATCTTTACAACAACAAGGGGGGTGTGCGTGATCCCGCGTGCAAACATGCATGTGCAGCAGGGTGTTTGTTTTCTCTCTCTGTCTGAATATATGTCATAAATAACCGTGGTACACCTTGGGTGGTGCTTCAGTCGGGGGTGGAGACACTCAAAACGATGGCAATGCATCCTAAAAGAGTCTGCGAGTGACACGCGGGAGCCCACATAAAGCTCACAGGGTCCTCTTACTGCACATTTCGTGGCTTGGTGGTCACAGCCCACACCCAAATGTATGCACAGAAGAAGTGAGACGTTTTCACGGTGCGTCACCTTCGGGGTGTGTGCAACTTTTACCACATGAATATTTTAGATGCATAACCGGCCGCGTTGGAAAACGACACTTGATTTGATTGTGTGGAGAAGTTGATAAATACGCAATAAGCTGCATAATTAGTGAGGTCAATCATTTGAGCGAGTGTGAAACTGGTGGTACTGCGGAAGCTACATTTCAGGATTTGTGACTGTGATTGTGTGCGTTTGTGTGCAATGAACATAGAGCCGATATCCCCCGAGGAACTGTAATCATCGGCTTTCACGATGTCCCTGCGCGTTTGACACGGTCTGCTTGCCTCTAAACATCCTCCGTATTGCCCCTCCACATAATCAACGGCGTTCGACAAACAGTACAGACCGCAGGGAAGAACTTCTTCATGTGTCAAATAAATCACCCCCCTCGTTGTCGGACCATTAGAAGTTTGGAAGCGTCCACCTCTCCCAGCAGTGGCTGCGTCCCACGGCCCTCGCCATCTGTGTGTGGGCCCCCGCCGGGATTACCCCACCCAGGCGGGCAGGTACCCTTCACCTGTAGCTGCTTGCCCTGACTGTTCCGCTTCAGTGACGGCGAGGAAACGGTGGGAAAGCCGGGACAGGCCCCCCCGGGCGTCATCCTCTCCTCTCTCCATAACAGCGAGCCCGTAAACACAAACACGCGCTTTCCATAATGATAGGCCTGCTCCCCGACCACGGCGTGGCTGCGTCTGAGAAGCGTATGACAGTAGCGAAATCGCAGCGAAAATCACACTGAGCCAGCGGGTGTGGAGCGGGAGAACCGGGTCTGAGGTCTTTCTGCCTCCACCTCCTACAAACACGTCCATTTCCAACCACTTTGCTCTTTCCACATTGTAGACATTCCTGACATTCTTCAAACTGGCCATCACACTGCAGGCTGACCCGCGCACCCACCAGCAGCAGCACACGGCTCACAAGCCACGCGTGTCCTGTCCGTCACCTCAGCTCCGCGTACAACCGAATCTCCACGAGTCAGCACATTTACCATCTGTTCGGGTGAAACGCGCCCTCGAGCGCGGCTTCTCGGCGCGCTGTAACATCACCCCTACACGCGGTGGGTGTGATGGGCAGCTCCACGTACGCCGCACTCGGCTTTCCTAGAACGCCTGCTGCTGTAGTGACTGCATACAGCCACCTAGCTGCAGCTCCGCTCCTAAGAAGAGGAAGAGCAAACGCTCGTTTCCTGTCATCCTCCTAAAAATGAAAAAAAAAACGACGACGACCCGCGGCGTGGAACACAAGAGGGTGCACGGCTCGGGGATCTCCGTGATGCGGCTGGTCAGTGCTGCGTGCGTGTGAATCTGAGGGATGCCGCCGTGTCTTTAAAGCGGTAATCCGTTCATTGCCGGCCATCTGACGTGCGGTTGGGGTTAAATGTCCACGGGGGCCGCTGTCTAAAACTGGAGCCGGTCAGGCTCGCAGGGCTCCTAAATGACCACCGAGGGCCCAGAAATCAAAAGACGTTCCGATTTTGCATTTCAAATTTAAAAAAAAGGAGAGGAACTGGGCTCATTGCGGCAACAAAGGGGGACAGCGGTGTTGACGTTCCCGGTGTGTCCTTTGGTCTTTTCTAAAGAAGGCTGGAGCTCGTCCGCAAGAGTTGTTCATCTCCTTGACGCAACGGCAGCTAGACACCAGGAAGCCTCTCTTTGCAGATCATTTCTAATTTGATCATTTAAAGATCTGAGACTAACCGGTCGTCAAAAGACACTGAAACTGAACTGAAACTGAACAATGCTCCAAATGAACACTGCCCCCTACCAACAGGAAATCACTGGAGCAGTCCTATTAAATCTACCGAGTTGTTAGACTCTATTGGACCTGTATATGTAATGTGATGACTGTATCATTAAGAGGATGCGCTACCGTCATTTGTGACTGACTCTCCAGAAGTTACTTGTTCAGTAACTTTGTGGCAGTCTTTTTTTTGTCTGGTGACAAGGTACTTTCAGAGAGTGGGTGGCAGTGATATGGTGTTTGCAACACTTTGTGCAGTGGCTGTTGATTTCGAGAGTACAAAGGGTTACGAAACAGGCCGGAGAATGAGCAGGAGTGCATAAGAGCCGGGCAGCAAGAAAAGGAGAAGTCGCCTTCTAATTTTACAAGCAAGAGCTGCCATCCTCCAGAAGTTGGGCAGAAGTTTCTGAGATGCAAATCTAAACTTCCTTTGAGCACAAGCAGCACCGATCCTGCTAAAAGAGACTTGTCATTTCCAAACCCTGCAGCATTCGAGACCCCCCCAACACACACACACACACACACACACACACACACACACACACACACACACACACACACACACACACACACACACACACACAACGAGAGCTGGGTTCCTTTGTAAACAAAGACACTAGTTGGCACTCTGGTTTGAAAAAGTGAAGTGTGTGTGTTTCCAAAGCGATTGCCAGCAGTCAACGTGTTTTCAACAAGTTTCTCTCACAGCGGTGATCAAGTAGCAGGAGTGCGGCTTGCAGCTCGATGGGGGTCCAACAATTCGGGGACAGAGAGAGAGAGACACGGAGAGTGAGGGGAGAGAGAGAGATGGGGGAGAAAGACACAGTGTATACCGATGCGTGAGTGAAAGCTGTCTCGGGGCATATCGTCCTTACCGCTATGAGCGTGTTATTCCTCTGCTCGGCGGAGGAGGCAGAGTCCGGGTCCGGCTGCTTGCTCTGCGGCTGCTTGCTGCCGCCGCCGCCGCCGGCCGACTTCTTGGCTCTTTGCTCCAGACTCCGCTGGTACAGGCTGACCGTCTCCCTGCGCTCCAGCTCCAGCTGCTCGGCGTGCGCCTGCTGGTACCTGTTCTCGCAGTTGACGTGGTGTCTCCGGCAGCCCTCGATCCGCTGCCTCAGCCTCTCCACCACCGTGCTGTGCTTAGGTATGCCCGCCGCCCCCCCGGCGGCCGCCACGCTCCCGGCGGCGGGGTTCATGCCGTTGTTGATGCAGATACCGCCGTTGGGTCCGGCAGCGGGGGAGGCGAAGTCCCCCATCGCGAGGCCGAGCGGCTGCTATTTTGGAGGAACTTTTCTCCCCGTCAAGCTCACCGCCGCCACCTTCTCCAACCTCCACCTCCACCTCCACGCGCCTGGTGTCCCGCGGCTCTCGTGTCCTCGCTGTCCCTCTCGCTCGCTCGCCTCACCCCCCGGCGAAGGGTCCCGGGAAAGCCGGACGGAGCGGCGGAAGGAGCGACCGGCCAACGACCGCCGAAGCGAGCAGCAACCGGGGGCCGGTTTAAAGGGCTTGGAGCCCGGTAGTCATACGTCCAGCGGCTCGGGAGCGACCGTTCCTTTCCCCCGTAGCCTCCTCGGTACTGTTTCCAAACAAACCGCACAAACCCCCACCCCCCCCTCCAAAAAAACACCACAAATATCACCCGGCGCGAGTGAAATGAGAGCGAACAATTAAGCCGCTAACAACAACTCCACTGGCAAAAGAAAGAAAACAACAACAACAATAGCGTGAATGTATGAACATTAGCGGGGACTCTGCGGTCAGACACACACTAACCGTCCCGCCGTGGAGCAGCAGCGGCGGCAGCAACGGTCCACTCGCCGTTTTACGGTGTTGTCCTTTGAGAAAAAGTTTTGCTGCCTGAACCGAACGGGCTCCGGAGTTCCCAGTGAACTCGCATCTCATATGGTTTTGGTTTGAAAGAAATCCCGGTGAAGATGTTGTTGAGTTGGTGGGGGGTGGGTGGTGGTGGTGGTGGTGTAGTTGGAGGGGGAGGTGGGGCGGGCGGGGAGGGGGGGGGGGGGGTTACCAGCACTCCTCTGTAGTCCGGTGGTGAGACAACTTCGAGTAGACCGTACGGCGCAAAACGCGGATACGGGGAAGCGGTTGCGGATGTCTGGTAGTCACTGTGCTGGCCGCTGCCCACCATCACAATAAGCAGGTCCGCTCCTCCGCCGTGCCAGCGGAGTGATATCAGGACACGAGTCGAGTGAAAACCAGCTAGAGGCTGCGAGGAGCCCGTTGATGGTGCTCAAGAAAACCCGGACTGGAGTCAGGTCTGTGTGTGTCCTCCCCCCCCGTAATGGACCGGACCGATCCCACCTGTGTCGTAGAAAGTTTGATGAAAGGAAACGTTTCTATTTTCTCCCCCCCCCCCCCGGCTCGGTCTGTTTTAATCTCCAAACCCGAACTCGGTTCCGTTGGCCAGCCAGTTAGCTGACGAATAAGCTCATTTCTTCACCATGTTTCACACGTGTTTCAAAGTATGAACCGCTCCCTTTAACATAAAGACACACAGGCACGTGCACGAGGCCCAATTAGTCAAACATTAACTATAATACAAATTAAATAATAGGTGTCGTAACACCACTAGAGTGGTTAGGCCAGGAAATAGGGCAGTAATACAGACTCTGAACTTTTCACAGTAACCAAAGGATCAAATTGTTCTTTACAGTTGCTTATTATCTCTATGAAGTTATTATTCAGCTGGATGTATGAAAACACCATGATACTGAAAAACAGTTCTTTAATGTATAGAATTAGCGCTTTATAGTGTTGATATGCTATGTAGTTTAATGATATACAACCATTTAAATTATCTGTGATACCATTACTATGATATTACCTGGGTTTAGTTATAGAAATAAACCATGACACACACACACACACACACACACACACACACACACACACACACACACACACACTTTATGTAGAAAATATCTTACAATTTTTACATGGATTGAGAAGAGTGGAGTTTGTGAGGTTCGTCAAAATGTTTTATTAACATGATTATTGTTATGATTATCATTTGATTATGATTCGTATTGCTGCCTGCGGTTATGTTTTTGAAAGACACCAGAGAAACTGATCATGCAGAAAGTTACACTACAAAGCAGTTACACAACCACAAATCATCGCCTGGGGTCATGCTCACTCAGATCCATTCTCCGAAGTTAGATAATATTCTCTGGATTGTGAAATAACTTGCAATACAGTTACAGTGAGGATGTCAGTCTTTTTTAATGAATTGAATTGAATCTTCTGTTGCTGATGAACCACTAAAAAATTAAAATAAAATGCATTAAGTGATAATAGTTTGTGAAAGTACATACTGCATAATTAGCAATATGTTGTAGGTTAGCAACGCATGGATGAAAAAGTGGGGCACTTCCTTACAGTAGATTATGTTTCTGTTATATTTAAAGACAATAATATAATATGTTTGTCTTATATTTAAAGACAACAGTAAGGACACCAGTGTGCTCCAATGAAATGATCGTCACAGTAAAAAAAAAAGAAAAGATAATAGATTTTTAAAAAAGGGTCACTCGGATGATCTTCATGACGACCGTGTTACTCTCATCTTCTTGCATTGACAACGCATGAACTGATGATTTATTGTAGTATAAAAATAATTTGGAAGATGAAATGGTGAGTCTGCATTCTTAGTGTTTAGAAGGATTCTTCTACTTTGATGTCAGAGGCTTCACCAATGGTTCCCAACGTGACTGACTATTCACAGAACGACCTCCCTGCAACCCCCATGACAACAGGTTCCATGTCAATGTCAAGTCCTATCTTATTTTTAAGCTGGGCCAATACATTGGATTTGATGTCTTTATCCTAAGCTGAGAAACATTGTCTCAAGCTAAATTTCAATCATAATTTAGCGCACATCTGAAAACAAAAATCAAATAGACAGTTGGGCGCACGAGTTCAGGTGCCATTAAACTGTTGCTGAGGAAATGGAAGCAACGAGATGAACAATGAGAGCACCAGTCAAACCCCAAACAAATGAAAATATTGTTGAAACCGTGATGGAAGGTCACAATCTCCTCACTGGCCAACACAGAAATTAGGAGATTATACGCTTTATTTTTCCGTTGTTGAATTTACACGTTTCAAGCACATCAGGATTCATTTACTAAGCCTGTTTTTATTCTACAAAGTCCCCTATTGATTTTATTGATAACATCATACAGATTTTGTTTTTATTTCCAGCACTAATAGACGAACAATAACATTTGATTGTTGTCTCACTACTGCCAAGATTATAAAGCAATGTAAAGTTAAATAAAGTCAGGGTTAAGTTAACTGAACCCCTCCTCAAGTAATTGTTCGTTTTGGTGACGCTTTACATTAGTTTCTTGAACGAGGTTCTGTGGTGCAAACAGAAGTAGAACTTGGAGCTGACGAATGGACGAAAATTCATACAGAAAGCAAACCCAATAAATACGACTCATAAAAGCCTAATGAACAAACTGTTTGGTCACTGAGTAAACTGTGATCAGTACGTAACCAACTAACATTATCTCCAAAATGTAAATAAAAGGTCACTTTCATTCGGCAGTAACTTGATGTCGGCATTAAGAGAATAAAAGGGGCAGAAGCTTTAGGATTATTACCACACTCTTTCTGACAGTTTCATCATCCTCCATCTGCCAGACCTGAAGCCATGAGGATTTTCTTGGAACATTTTGGCTTTCTCTTGTCTTTGTAGACGGAGGAAACGCTTTGGTTTGGGTGTTGTTGTTCTGGGTTGAGCGAGGAGATGCATCCCCTCCCACCCGGCCCCTCCGGCCCCGGGCAAAAACTCGGCTCGGATAACGTTTGCCGGTGCTATTTTCTACGTGCTCATCGTGCGGCACGCCAGAGAAGAGATCACTCTCCCAATTTCAGCCCGGTACTTACAGAATTTAAATTCAACACTAGATTCTTACACCAATGATTCTCATTTTTGTGTCTGTACGCACTGCGGCCTGTCACTTTGTCCGTATACATATGAGACGTCAAATAAATGGGTGTTGCAACCCTGTAGATAATTGTTAACAACTACATAGTTACCCTGATACTTACCACCTACTGGTGAGTTACCTCTGAAAATGTAGATAAATTCTTGCAACCCCTTTGTTCTCTGTTCTGTAGCATCTGACGCTAATGCTAGCATCCTGGAACCTCAATCCTGGAGCCACAGATTCAGATTTTTGATATACTTGATTGATAATCAATGAGATTTGAACAAGCAAAGATGCATAAACCTGTCTTTCATTTACATCTTATAATCAATGCATATTGCCGCTTGCTTTAAATCAATCGATTTTGGGCTATGAACAACTTTTAAGAATACGTCAGTTAGCTAAATTACAGATTTCATGGTAGCTTATGATTTATACTCAGTGTTAATCAACATCACCATTCCTACAACCGCATCCTGCACAAACGCTAATTTTGTATCCTTAATTTTAATTTATTTTCCATTGAAGGGCACTGTTACTGTGATTTCCACCTCCGATCAAAATTACTGTGGTTCCCCTTTTCTGTGGCAAAGCATGTTTTCCTAAGTAGACCTATTAAATAAATGGGTTTTTGGTTTAACAACAAACACGATGAAAATTAGTGTTGCTGTGGAAACCAAAATAAATGTTCATGTTCCATTGACCTGGACGATGAGAGAAAAGTAATTTAACATTGTGTAAATGGCAGAACATTACTACACTGTCCTTATTTGGTTCTATTTGGTTTATGTTCAAGACAAAAGGAGCAGATCACCAGATCACCAATGTGACTTCATGCGAACCCTTGATTTCTTAGTTGCCACATACAACACAAGAGACTCAGCTGGGGTCCACAGACGGGTTGGTGCGCGCGGCTGTAACTGGTGCTCCGGTGCTGCTGCCCAACCTGGCCGGCTCAGCTCGTCAGGAATGAATGGAATGTTGTTTCACACAAACTCACACACACACACACACGGCGCACAAACCACTTTCTTAATTACTTGCTTCGGTCAAAATGTGCTATGTTGTTGTTGATGTTTCCTTTCCCTCTCCGCTGCAATATTATTATCAGTTTTACTTCTTCTAAAACCTTTTTCTTTTGAAGTGAAATTGTTTTCTTGCATGGGGGAGGATGGCTGTGGATGCTTGAGGAGGAGGGGTCATGGGTGTTTCGACTGCGAAGCAGCCATGTTCATGCTAAATTACAAGTTTCCCTCCATAGAAAAAACTCACGTCTTTCATTGATGTTATGATGGAACGCCAATGCTACAATGTGAAAAGGTATGACAGCGCTACATTTAACTTTCAACACTTTCACTTTGCCAGTTATTAAACAAGGGGGTGGTTTCTGTGAGGTTAAAGTGATTATTCAAAGACGTTAATAGCAGTTTTCACTCGATCTGCGGCGTGTATTTAAACCGAAGCACAGAATATACATTTCGCTCTTCGCTCTTGAACAAGGGAGAGACGCATTTATTGTCCTTTCTCACCGCCGTGCCGGTTTGTCTGCTCACGACGTTTAGCGTGGGAGGTAAAGAATGAGTCTACACAAAAGAAACACCAATGATACAAACATGCTCAGGGTGGAGAACCAAGCGCTCGGAGGAAATATTCAACAGGGCCAGCAACCGTGTCTATTTTGCTTGTGTGTCGCTTTCACAGACATCAACAAACAACACACAAAAATAATCAGGAAATGTGCTAAAGCTAATTTGAGGATTCCCTCCCACACTCACTGGACCACTTATCTCCTGCTCCTCTTCGGTTTCCCGTCCTCCTCTGCGCTCACCACGGCGACTTTGTCAGCGTCTGACATTCAGACAGCGCCGTTCGCCCTGTGGTGACCCCCGACACACGCTCAGTGATTCCCAGGTGGGAGAACGGGGCTCTCCCACCCTGTGGGTTCTTCCGGAGACTCCCTTCCCCGGAGTGGCAGAGAGGAAAAGGGAGAGAGGGAGGAGAGGGGAAGTTGCTGGGCTGTTGCACTACACCGCCTGTCTCTGAATATTTAATGCACACGGCGCTGCCTCGGAGAGCGAGATAAAGAGAGAATCGGGGTGGTTGATGAATTGATGAGCCACGGGGAGGGATGAGGCACGGACGGGTGAGAGATAGGGGGAGTAAAAGGAAGAGGGAGACACAGAGGGAGCCAAGATACAACCTTGTTCAATTAAATCCAAACTGTGTTGATTCATGGTTTTGTTTTTAAAGCTGAACGCCACATTTAAACGCGTGTACGCGCTGTATATTAATAAGTATCACCATCCTGAATAACTACTGTACGAGATAGTTTGTGTGGAATATATCAGACGATCTTTCTGTCCTCAGAAAACAAGGAAGCTGCCAAACTTGAAGATGAATCACACGTTCCATCATCCAGACTGGACCCTTCGTTATCTCCATATGACATTATAGGAAGCTAGCAGGTCTGGTTTTAAGTTTGATGTTCATGTTGGTCTCATGGGAAATTGACAAAAAAAGATTTTGAGGGAAAATCCTTCATGTATAAATCAATGTGACGACACTCACACACGCTGAAGGCTGGAGGGGAGAATTATATTGTTTCCTGCCTGATCAGCTGTTTTGGAAGAATAGAAGGCAAAACTAGAGAACAGTTTAAAAACTAGACGAGTATTGAAAAAGCCCGATGGTGGAAATAATGTACACATTTATTCAGCACTTGTTACCGCCGGTTATTTTACAGTAAAAGAGGAACATTTCCAAACGATAGAAAGAAAAACAAAAGAAGAATGTGTGTGTTAAGAGAACAAATAGACAGAAGCTAGGGGGTGGACTCCACAGCAAGCAATACAAACACACACACACACACACACACAACGCACACATTCATGTGCGTGCAATGATCACAAAGGATGCTGGGTAATTATGCTAATGATCCCATAATGAGATGCATAAGCCCTCTCTCATTAAGGAACAACATCTTCTTTCCTTTTATAATATGTTAATTTCTGAAGAACCGTGCACATGCTGCTGAGGCAGCCTCACACACACACTAACACACAAGCAAACACACACACACAGGCGAAAACAAACACACTCACACACCTGACTGACACATCCTAACCCTGTGTTCACACAAAAACATACACAGGCGTAGGCCTACACCTTGGCAAACACAAATCCTTACAACACACACGCGCACACACACAAACACAAACATGAGGTTCTGTTTGAATATTTGAGACTGATATCATGATGCACCAAAAGAAACGATGTGTATTACGTGGCTGCCATAAACAATACTGGGACATCAGCTTTTATGGAAAACAAACACACTCACGCAGGTGGAGAAAGACGCTCACATGTGTGCATGTACACGTGATGCAACACGTCGTCACACAACAGCTCGTTGAAAATCCTTCTACCAACGCAAAAGATAATAACAATTTACTTTTTTTATCAGGTGTCAGTTATCACTTGTTACAGTGAAAGAGTCAAAGAAAGTTTCTTCCAACTTTCCGAAAAGTAGAACTTTTCGGGACCACAAAGTGACACAACAGCTGCCATTGCAAAATCTTCTTTACTTTTAGTTTTGATCAGCGATATGAAGATCATGTTTTGGGTTAAAGTAACATCGTTACATAACTTAATCAGCTAGTTCAGTAAGAAAGCCACATGAGTCACCTTTGCTTTGTCTTGGGGGAAAGGTTCTGTGCACATTTGAACTCTTGACTCTGCAGACGTTCTCTATTTTGTCTCTTCATACTACGTCACGTGACTTCCTGAACGCCAGCGCCGCACATCCTGCCTCACGATTATTCAGCTATGCATGAATTCCGGTGTATTATTTTTCCTACACGTACGTAACCACAGTGAATGAGACATTCTGTTCAAGTACAACACACACACACACACACACAACCCGGGCCAGACCGTAACAATGAATAGAGGGTGTTGAGTTGATGGTACAATTGAATGATTACTGTTTGATCCAACCAAAGCTGTTTTACTCATTTATGTATCAATACAACTAAGATTTAAGAGACACACACACGAACACTGGCACATAACAATGTGTCTGACTTCTAAATTTAGATCACATTATGTGTTCATGGCTTCATGACTCCATCGAGACATTCCGTGTCCACACATGTCAGCCGGAGAAGCACCACAACTGACTGGTGTCAATAACTCACGCTCACTCGCACACACACACACACACACACACACACACACACACACACACACACACACACACACACACTGAGTCATATCCCTTAATGAATGTTATTTCACACTTTCTGGCTATGTCATGGTGACGCAAGGCGAAAAGAACAATTAAAGAGGTCTGTTTTGTCCCTGCAAAAACTGAAAAACAAGGTGACCCCACCTTCTGAAGCCACAATCCGTCATCTGTTTGCTGTCATGTTTTTTTTTAAGTTCATGTTAGTTGAGCGTTCTTTCCCATTTTTGTTGCTCACATTTAGTTGCGCAACATGAAACAGACTGGTGTTACTGCAAAATGCTTGGCGTCTTTTAGCCGTTCACCAAAGCGGTAGCATTGGTCACATGCAGCGAAGGCCTCATCCCTTCCGCTCGGTAAGAACGTAAAGCAGCCGTAATCAATGTATGCACATTGAAGAGGGAGTAAATGACTGCGTGAAGGATCACTCTACTCTGCATTTCTATTATGCTTCATGGAGCGTCTCTCGGTTGGATATTTTGGTTCACAGCAGCTGAGCGGACCCAGCAGATGATATGCTACACAGAACCATCTGAGAGGCTGTTACTGGGAACTGGCAGGGAAATGACAGGCCATTTAAAAAATAAAAAATACTTAGCAGGTGGATCGGATGAACCATCTTCCAATCAAATTCTTACCCAAATCCTATCGGGAGAAGAGCGGAGGACGTGTGACTAAACACTATTGGCTGTTCGACCGAGTGAAGCATTCAGTAGCTCACGTGTCAGATATTTCCCGTTATGGAGACCGAGAACAGAGCTTAATTGGATTAACGGGATTTGCTAACAAGTTTGCCGTACCACCACCTAAAATGCTGATCTGATGATATGTCAATTTTGTGTTCGCAGCTTGTTTTTGCTGCCCTCGAGTGGCTAATATTATCAATAATTGCAGGTTGAATCCTTTTGGTGTAAAGAGGAGACCTTGTGTGTTCTATGTGTCCCTCTCAAAATCACAGTGATAACATAGATTTTTGTGTAGTACACACAGTACGCAGATAGACGTATTTTATTCTCTCCCAGTGGAACAGCGCGTAGCAAATTCCTGGAGCCTTTTAATGAACACCAAATTACTCTGATTCAATCCCATTTACGATCACTGGCACGCAACAATTTCACACATGACAATTCATTTTATTCAAGTCATATTAATCATGTTACAGGAGCATTGGAAAAGAAAGCAGCAACGTTATTCATGATATGAGAACAGTCTCGGGGCATAAAAAGGTCCCATGATGTCTGCTAATTAAAAGATAATCTGCATGCAAAGAAAGTCGCAGTGTGTGGTAGTAATATTTTGTGTTAAACTATCCAATGAACTGATCGCATTACCAATTCTTTCAATGTGACGTGTAAGCTGTGGGCCACATATGTTTGCTACAGCTCCAGCATGCACAGAAAGTTTGTGTTACTGTAACTCTTTCGCCACACGGCCTCTAGTTAGATCTGCATCGTCTAAACTCTAAACTGTGTGTTTTCTCCCCATGTGAAAAAATGAAAACGTGCCGTGCTGCATGCTATATGGTTGGTGCACAGTTTCATTGCATGACTCTGGGAGCAGGTAAAGAGACTGCTGCTACAAACCCTCCACCGCTGACGAATCCACTGCTCCCTGTGACACACAGTCAGAAGAGAAGGCAGTTAAAGTGTGCAGGCGACTCCTCCACTCACTCAAGAGTGTGTGTGTGTGTGTGTGTGTGTGTGTGTGTGTGTGTGTGTGTGTGTGTGTGTGCGTGCGTGTGTGTCTGCTCCCCCTGCAGAGTATGTGTGAGTGGGATGAGATTGAGGCAGGGTGAATAGAGTGAGGGAGAAGGGGGGAGGTGAAAGGGGGGAAACATGTTGGGGAAGATCGTAAACTAACACTGTAGCCTTTCATGGCTGCGTGGAAATCCCGGAGTGGACTTTTTCCTGGAAGGGGAGGAACGGAGGGATGGACGAAAAGCGCCCTCGTCCGCCCGTAACCTGGGGAATATTTGAGCGAATTTCCTTCAGTCAAATGGATAAAGCAATTTCCCCCCCCCCCCCCCCCCACACACACACACAGTGCAACCCAGCTTCTTTATTGTATTTCAATGTTTTTAGTGTCTTTTTAAGCGTGTCCCTGATGAGACACAGCTACTTGTACACAGTTTGGAAAGTTACAGATTCGTCTCTCTGATAGAGAGAAGGATTATTACTCCATGTCTTTCTCGCTTTACTCTGGAATGAAAACACTGGTACATTTTCTTTCTTGGTTTATAATCCCACCCCATAAAAAAGGGAATCAACTGTTATAATCAGAATAAAAAGTGGTCACTGTGTCCACCCTGATATGTTGAACTTTGGAAGGAATGTTTGTACTTGCATTCTATTTCACTATTCATTGGAGAGATCAGAGAAAACAGCACGTTTCCTCATTTCTTGACTGTGTCTCGCCGTGTTGTACAAACGACTTACAACCAGGTAGTGCGTCACATTGAGGAAATGACAGAACATTTCTTGTTGTTTTTTACAACTTAAAAAAACCTACAATGTCATTGATGGCTTAATGTCTATAACATGGAGTTTGGATTTTGGATCCACCTTGGGTGTGTTTGGCCTCCTCTGTTAGCCTTGACCTTTACTTCACACCCACGGGGGGTTTTCTTTTTACCAAAAGGCAGATTTTCACAGTTGGACTCATTCATACATGATCTCTCTCTCTCTCTCTCTCTCTCAAACAAACACACACACTCACACACCTACTAACACACACACACTTACAGACACACACCGACTGTAGGGAGACACAAAGATGCTGATGTGCTCAGTACCAGTTTAGCTGCAGATGGGCAGATGGAAGAGTGCTCTTTTTACAGTCTCTTCTCCTCCCTGTGCGTGCGTGACTGTTTTTGTGTGTACGTGTGTGTGTGTGTGTGTGTGTCCAATGCCTAGCATAACACTGGCAGAGCGTTGGTGCCAAAGTGGGCATCTGGTCTGTAGACTATCACAGGGGAGAGAGGGGAGAGAATAGTAATGCCAATGTAAACCCTCCCCCCCTCCTCTCTCTGTCTCTCTCTCTCTCCCTCTCTCTCTCTCGGCAGCTAATCGTGCTTCTGATCTTGTTCTGGTTTCCTGCATGTCGCTGCTTAGCAATAATTAACTACTCACATATGTACACAGAGAAAGAACAGAACGAGCACACTGGTTGGAGATTTTGACAACATACACTTGCACATTTAGTATACAGAAACAGAGAAAAATGTACAACACACAAACACACACCCAGGGGCCGTAAAGGTCCGACACTGTGCGTCTCTCATTGGCTTGACTTCCTGTCAGTATGAAGCTGTGGTGAGTGTTTCAGTTGACTGCTTGCAGGTTGTGTTGAGGTCAAACTCTCTCTGGGGCCCAGAGTATCGCAGGTGTTAGAAGTGACCAGTGCGCACACACACACACACACACACACACACACACACACACACACACACACACACACACACATCACTAATAAATGCACACCTGGCTTTTTCATTCAAAGCATCTAAACAGGGGAGCCGCTGCTTTGGTGTCTCCGGGGTCGATACCGTGTGAGTGGTAAAGCTGATCTGTGGTCAGCAGCGGGGCTAAAGGGGAGCCAATCAGGTTTGGATTATCAGCACACTGTTACTGTGGCTGCCCTTCCCCCTGGAAATAGCTCTCATAAATGCCATTGTCTTCCTGGCTTTATGGGGCCGGTGAATCCTCCGCAAACAACACACGTTTGCAAACACACACACACACACACACTCCCACACGACGAAACGTAAAGCAGACACACTGATCCTCGAGGTCACTCAAACAGCATAGAGCATAGACGGAATGCAGCACCGGCAAACGTGAGCGTGAGCCCATCCGCACACGTACGAACACACAACACACGCGAGGACACAGAAAAAGATGAAAAACAAATCATCTGTCGGACAACAAAATCACATGCTGCTGTAATTCATGCTATCTGCAACATATGTAAGTTGTTATTTAGAGCCGGCTTGACCTCAACACCCGATCTGACTCGCCTGTTACTGTCCTTGCTTCTCTTATTATGCTATATTACATAGTATTTCTAGGCCTTTACACTATCATTAGGTGAACATCTTTGAGCAGCATTTGAGTTCTCTAGCATCACCATTCATCTCCATCATTCAGTGGTAACAAAGTAGAAAAACGGGATGATTGAAGTCCTCTTTTTACCCAAACAATTGTAAAACCACATCGGCTTGAGTTTTTAGGATTTTAAACACAGGGTCCTCTCCTGAAGATGTAGATTGACATTTTTTCCTACTTAGGTTGTGCGGGGACCATTGGGCTGTTTCCATGACGACTGAACAAACTCCTTCACTCAAACATGCCACGGGCTGCCAAGTGCATCTTGAAGTATCCTTTTGTGTAGCCTGTTTTCCACAAAACATACAAGATCAAAAAGGCATCACAGATTTACATTTTCATTAAAATCACTAATATTTTATTGTATTGTCTTACCTTCAACATGAAGCCATAGACCACGAAGGCCTCAGGACTTCCTCGTTGCTGTGTGTGTGTGTGTGTGTGTGTGTGTGTGTGTGTGTGTGTGTGTGTGTGTAATCTGCACCGTCATTGCAGGTCGCTCCCAGATGGAACCCAATCTGCAGTGTTCACCTTTAACCAGCAGAGTGCAGGCTGCTCCCACACGCCTGATGAGAGTGGTTTTGCGCTCATGTCCGCCCCGCTGATGTCCAGGTCCACACTGCTCTGAGGTGTTGCTCAACAAGGTGAAAATAAACAAACAATTGGTTCTGATTCTGGTCAGTGAGCGAAATGGAAGAAGAAGAACAGACCAAAGAAAGAGCCGGAACAGCTGACTGTGTTTACGTTAACAGCCTGTTCCTGTAGTTCAGGTTAATGTGTGTGTGTGTGTGTGTGTGTGCGCGTGTGTGTTTGAGCCTCCGATCTGCCTTTATGGATCCCCTTTCATGTGAGTCTCCTGATGTCTGCTTATGATATTGTCCAGTGGTCACCGCGGCAACCCATTCTCACAATGTCCCTGTAACTCGAGCCTCCCGTCAGGTAACCGTGACTGTGTGAATGTTCCAGGTGTGTTTGAAGGCCGGGCTTGAAGAATAGAGCGAGAGTAAGCAAGAGTTTAAACAGAGAGAAAGCTCCGACACTAACGTTTGAGTCGCTGTTATCAAAAGCGAAAAGGGAACATGCTGGAAGGAGGGAGACTCAGGCCTTAGATGCCGAGAAGGACGTGAATGATGGGATGTTCACTGGCAGCTCTCTGGAGGACAACACTGGTAAATCATCAAAGGACAATTGATTTGGTTGTATTTTTTCTCAAAGTAAGCACTTTTCTGCACTTATTTTTTTGGGCACGCGCAAATCAAACCGCTGTAAAGTTTCCTTTAAACTGCAGCTCCTTTTCTTAACGTCAGATGAGAAGCTTCTATCAGTAAAGCTAAATCCTTCCCATTGAACCCTTTGAGTTGTGGAATTCTATGTTATATGTGGGGTTTTTTTATAGACATTGTCATACACAGCGTTATCACAGCTCCATCAAACATTCATTATTAATATGGAACATGCGCTTTGGGTGGGAAGGGATTTTTTTGTCAGCATTCAAAATACCCATTTAATCAAACTTAATAATATAATATTATACTTAAAAAATAATATAATTAAATAATTTAATTTGCACAATTTCACAAGCTGCATGCCTTTCTTTTTATTTGGCTACATATCTAATAGGCAGAAACCTTTTCCTTTCACTTAATTTCCAGAAAAAAAACATTTAGTTGAATATCAGAAGTTCCAAATGACCATGGGGAACAATTCCCTCCAATCTAAATCCTTTATAATACAACACTAAACACAGCATTGTTATTACATAATACTTGTTGTGTGACGATTGTTGCTGTCTTCTTGAAACGCGGCTACGTTATGTTTTACTACTCATGATTATTTTGTCACTTTAAATACAACATTATGCTGACAATTTGTTGTGAAAGTGACAATAGCACAGACAAAATCTTGATTTATCTCATAATAATCAGAGACAAGTCCAATCAATAACCTCCGGTGTCCTCCGGTGGCTGCCGCCCTGGTGACGGTTGTCGTGGTAACTCCATCACGCGGTTCAAACATTCGGTGAAAGCAAACAAGGCAGACTTTGGGTCAAGATCATTTTGTCAAACCCCAGGAGCGGTTTGAGCGCGTAGCGCACACGTACACACAGATGGTGGGAACAAGGCAAAGGAGAGGATGACAGACGAGGTGCAGGGAGCGGACCCCTCGTAGATGGCCTTCGGCCAACACACAGCAGCACGTGACCCCCAGAGGTCAAGCAGACGCAGCACAGAGGGCTGAACAAATACTACACCCAGACGTGTAGGAAAGTTCATGCACTCATGCAGACGGACAGACGGAAAGAAACGTAGATGCACCAAAACAAAAACAGACGGGGGTCTGTTGGGGATCCGTTGCCACCGCAGCTCTGACTGTCCAATCTACGTGATGTTATACCAGTGGGAATGACTGGAGGCCTGAGCATCAGTGAGGCCTGTGTGTGTGTGTGTGTGTGTGTGTGTTTGTGTGTTGCCCCCCCCCTGTCGGTCGGTGTGGACACGCACACACGGTGACGTCGATATCGTCGTTATTCTCATCATCCTCCTCCTCCTCATCATCATCATCATCATCACAGCCTCTGCTCTGTTTACATGGTCGCTCCGCTGAACGGAGAAGACGTTTCTTGCTGTCGGTGAGTCTTTTGTGTAAAATGCAAAAACCCGAGGAGCTAAATCCCAGCTAAGGTTTCCTGGTCGGGTTAGAAGCTAACGCTGGCTAACAGCAGTTAGCTTGTTAGCGATGGCAGAACGTTTATGAAATGCATTTACCAGAGAGTCGCCTCTAAACAGCAGACGAGCTAGATAATTGCATTTTATAATTGCTTCTGGGGAGTAACTGACATCGAAATTCCGGGTTGAAGTGGTTATTCCGTTGGTGTAACGTTAGCTATTAAGCTCACGTCGGTTAGCTTAGCCGCACAGCTAACAACGGTTAGCTTCGGGTATACGCTTCTATTATCGGACACGCCCGAACGTCAGCTCGCAAACGTCAGACGTCACGATGTATTTGGAAGTCCAGTTGTGTTCGGACGATGCCGAGAAAATGCAGGACCGGCTGCAGCTCTCCCGTCTATTCACAGGAAAGGCGAAATGACGAGCAGGGCCGCAATAAAGTAACGTTATCTGGACTAATGGACGGACTGACGTTGAACGATCAGCTGCTCTCTCGGCCATCGGGCGCTCGTTTTATTCATGAGATGAGATCGCAGCATCGCATCATGGGTGCGGTGTCAGCTCCTCCAGCAGCACAGGGGCAACACGCCCAAACTTCATGTCACAGCCGACGGGACATTACGACATAAACTACTTTACTTAAAGTCAGGGATGATTCTTTGGCCTCCTTCCATCAACCAAAGTGCACCTAACGTAGTCAAAAGCATTCATGATGTAATATGTTGACCAAGGAAATGTGGGATTTCACACAACATGTAGAATGTGACTGTTTATTCCATCGTTTACTAACTGCAATGATCACAGGTGGATCTGGGATGCAGGAGCTGAGGCTCCCTTACTGAAAACATGACGTTTATTTGAACGTTTTCTCCCCACCAGGCAACCTTTCTACTTATAAGATTGTGATCACACTTAGTTCCTCCTGCCACCTTGTTGAAAACGTTTCCAGGGAAATCGTACTCCCCAGCCAAGTGATGTTATTCACACAAACAGAGAACTAGATGATGGCAAGAATCTCTGCTAGCTGCTGCTTTATGACACTGTTTGTTTTCCAGTGGACGGTGGATCTGCAGCCCTGTATACTAAACAGGAGAACGAACTTTTCATCATGAACTGCGATATAGATGGTACGTCTGCATGCACGCGACTTTGTGAATCACGTGGTAAAAATGACATCATATAGTCCAGGTGCTTCTAAGGTAACGCAACCGTTTGGATCTATTGCAGGAGACATGGAGAACCAGGTGGAGATGGAGGAGAAGACGAGGTTAATAAATCAAGTGTTGGAACTTCAGCACACGCTAGAAGGTAACAAGCACATCACTTTCTTCTAACACACACACACACACACATCGTTATCTGTGCAAGCCCTCGTCTTGCTCTATTATAAAGACCAGGTCAAATATGAACCCAAGCATTCTTCTTGCCCTCTCAGAACCATTGTGCCCTTGTTAGCCGGCGTTTTAAAGCTCTGGATGCTTCTCCCTGTGCTGTCGCCGTCTCTGCTGCTGCGCTGTCTTGATGCTCTAATGCACTCAGATGACCGGCCCTACACTCTCCCTCCATCTGCTTTCCACATTCGCTAACGCTATTTAAAAACTGCAGATGTGGTGATTGTGTTGGAAAAATGATTAAATATCTGATTCATTTTATAAGTATGAAAGTTGCATTAAAGACGGGGAATACAAATGTTGAATTTGATAACCGTGAGTCACACAGTCACTTTGTCTTTGTTCCAGACCTGTCAGCGCGGGTCGACGCAGTCAAGGAGGAGAACCTGAAGTTGAAATCGGAGAACCAAGTCCTCGGGCAGTACATCGAGAACCTCATGTCTGCCTCCAGCGTCTTTCAGACCACCGACACTAAGGGCAAACGGAAGTGAGGTACGAGTCCCCGGGCGGCCGCTGGGAGGAGGAACCCGCCACCGAGACATGGAGAGGGCTTTGTTTTCTCACCAGACCTGGGTCCCTGTAACCCGTACAGCTCACTCACCACAGTCAAAACTAAATATTCAATGATCAAAAAAAACTAAACTGACTTTTTCCACACGTTTCCGCCGCTGACTCAGAATTAAGTGAATTTGATGTTCGTTTGACCCAGGTCTGTTTGGCAGCAGCTCCCTCTCCAAACCGCAGAACCAGATCGTGGACATGAAGTGGTGATGGGACATTTGTACCTTGAGTTTCTTCTTAATGCGCTCCGTCAATGTAGTATCTGTAAAATAATTCGTAGTTTGGCTTTACCTGCTTGCTTTTGTGTTTGGGGACAGAAGGTTTTCCCGTCTCAAACTGACCTGTAAGCAGAACAAATCAGAAATATCAGAAATACTGGCTCACCACGAACGACTCATTTCAAAACTGGTTTGTGATTTCTTTTTGTAAAATACTTTCTACATCAGCTGGATCTGAGTTTTTCGGGAGGTCGTGGATGTCATCGTGTCCATATGAAACATGGCTGTATTCTACCATTTTAAAAGCAGGCAAAGTGAACAGTATTACTGAGAATAAAATGTATTTGGATTGCATGTATGCTTTTTATTTATTTTTTATTTGAAAGTGGAGTATATCTAATAAAATGTTATTAAATCAATAATCACTGAAATAGATTGTGTAAAGCTACTAGACACATATAGGTACCATAAAAGAGCTAGTTATGTAGACTTCATGAAAATGTAAATCTCAACTTAACATCAGTGTTTTATTGAGTGGTTCCATTTCTTAAACAAAGTTACAATTTTTTTTTTTGTACTTAAAAGTATTTATAACCCTGTGAGTGTTGTGGCCCAGACTATTGTAAGAGACAAAGGAGATGGACATTAATGCAGCTTAGCTGATTCAGAGACAAACCCAGCGTTATTACATCCTGTATGGGGGGGGTTTCCTCTTAAAAGGGCCGGAGTGCTTCTGATCCACTGAGACGGGTCTGGAGGACACCACCTGCTGGAGGAGGGGTTTGACTGTAAATGTGCTGATGTCCTCAGCGTACAGCAGAGTGGAGGGTGTGTCATCCAGGACTAAAACAAGTGAGGATGGAAAGTAATGTATTCTGAACAAATTTGCATTACCTTTTTAAATGTAAGTATCCATCCGTAAAATGTCTAGAAAGCAGTAATTTATGTGTAAAGATCAAGTGACTATGGTGCTGTTTCAAACAGTTGGACGTAGTAATATTAGGGGAGGCTACAACACTGTATAAGATGTAAGTTGAGGTTATTTCAATATTTAACAGTTTTACAGTAGAATTTCTGTCTGGCGTGCTGAAAATGCCCCACATACACTGGTACCAGCTTTGCCCTTTTTCTTTTTTTGTTTTTAAATAAAAACCCGGAGGTCACTCTTTTTTGGGGGTCTTTTGTCAACTGACCAACCCTGCATTAACTTTCAGGTGTGCAACAGAATTAAATATTTGTATTAAATATTGTTTTATTTTCAAGAGCAATGTACAACTTGCCAACAAATGTAAACAGGGATTTCTGCCAGAACATTAGCTACAAAAGCTTGAGACAATAATATATAAAACAAATTATCACTGATGTTTTTCCCCAGGCAATAATGTTTGATCTGAACACAAGCTAGTCTAGACCTCCTGGGGAAGCGCCGCTGTGCACTGACTGAATGAGGTGTGTTTCCGTAGGTGTAATCTTGTTTTACTGACAAGGAACGGCCGAGGCATTCGGTCACGTAGACCTTTGAAACGGATTCAGAATAAGCACATCAATGGCATATCGTATTTAAGAAAACTGCCTCAAGTCATTCCAAACACTGCAATATTAAATCTTTATTCTTACCAACATAACACAAACCTTAAACAAATAAATAAATAGGGTCTGTGTTGATCCTCAATTCTTAAATTGCTATAGAAAAACAAGAGGAACTGAGGCTCCTTACAAACTACCTAAAATCTGAACAGAACATCCTTTTTCAAGAGGTACATCTCTCAACCAAAGCTGAAGGCCATTTCTCGCCTGAAATGTCTCAACTCTGCAATGACACGTCGAGCAGCCTGGCGTCCTCTCCTCCCGGCCTGTTCTTGGAACCTGAAACAACTTCGACCAGCCAAGGGACGCTTGCCCAGCCGTGTCCTCGAACATGTTCTTTAAAGCAAACTGGACATAAGAATAAAGACCAACTTCTGAGATGAAGCCCGTACGACATGTTGTGAAATGCTTTGCAGACCATCGGCCGCCGTCCTCCTCAGAGGAGACGGACTGGTGGGACTAGGACGGGATATATTCAGAGACGAGGTGAGCGGGGACACAGGTGCAGGAGGTGGGCCTCTTTGGGCTGACGGGCATTTTTGACAGCAACGGCTAAGAGAAGAAAAGGAACGACCAAGAAAGTGTGGAAGCTTGAGATGGGGGGGAAACATTTAAAATGGACAGAATCTCCAGTGGAATGATTCGTCTGATCGTCCAATGAGCGGGAGACAGGGAGAGGGAAGAAGAGATGGGGGTGGCAGAGTCCAGTGCGGGAAACTGTCCCTGTGATGGCTGGGGGGGGGCTGCAGGCTAACAGGCGGTTTGGAAGAAATACATGCTGCTATGCTCAGAAAGGGCGGAGCAGCAGCTGAAACGACCTCCTCCGCATCGGGGGAGAAAGGAGACAGGAGGCGTGGGGTTCTCCCCCTCAGTCTTTCCGTACCCTCCTCTTTCTCACAGCTTGTTTGTGGCTCTCTTGGGCGACGTCTCCGAACTCCTTTGGCTGCGGGGCAAAATTAGAATAAAAGAAAAGAAATGGACAGAAAAAAGCAAATTTAATGGATGAGACAAAAAAACCAAACAAACATCCCTCTATCATTTCAAGTGAAGAGTTAACCTCGTGTTACTGGGTGTGTAGACTTAACATTAACAATTAACATTGATTTAATTAAATGCCAACAAGAGAAATACATGGCCGCAATCGTAATGAAGAAATGGAACAATAATCAGTGACACCCACCTCCTCCTCTAAGGTTCTCTCAGGAGCTTTGCTTTCCTCTTCTCCCTCCTCCTCCTCCACCTCCTCCTCCCCTTCTTCCTCCTCCTCCCCTTCTTCTTCCTCCTCCTCCTCCTCTTCCTCTTCATCCCCCTCTAGGTTGTCACCTCCCGCATTGGCTTCATTTTCCTCCTCAGCCACTTCTGTTGGTTTCGAGACAGTAACGATGAAAGTAAGAACAAAGAAACATGAGTAGAATATTGTAGCAATACTTGAATACGCAAACCACAGCAGTGTGTGTGTGTGTGAGTGAGACCCTCTAACCTGCCGTTGGAACACCCTTTACAGCGTCAGCTGCTTTGCCTTCCTTCTCTCCTGCTACCTCCTCATCTTCTTCCTCTTCTTCATCCTCCTCCTCTTCTTCTATATCAGGCTGGGGAGGATCCACCTTCTTGTACACGTAGTCTTCATCGGGTTTCTACATAACAAACAGTACGTGGCGTCACAGGCTTGTCCCGTTAAAGCTCTGCTTAAATTGACGATCCGAAAAGACGCAATATACACATGTGTCCCATTTGGTTCTCGGTACCTTGGGCCAGCAGAACAGCACAGCCAGGCTGACGGGCAGGCCGACTGTCAGTATGTAAATCACCCAGAGCCACGGACGTTCCTCGGCTGCAATGGTCAGCTGAGCAAAGATCCCCGGCTGATGGAATTGGAGCGCAAAAGGACAAAGGACCAGAGGGGGAGAGCAAAGAATAAGCCTTTGTGAACCCTCGTCTCAGACACTTGACGGCCTCTACTAAATCATATGCACAAAGTAACAATGCCAGTGTCTGGCAGGCTGCTGCTCCATGTTCCCTTTCGCCCTTACTGACCTCGTTAGCGCTGGCCACCAGTTTCTTCAGTCCCCAGCTGTCGGCGGCCCAGCGGTCAGCCACCTCCTTGTGAGAGGTGATGATGAAGTTGTCGAAGTAGATGTCGGACGTCATGGACCACAGCTCCAAGCCCACGGCCTTGATAGGCGTCATCCTGAACGGCTGCAGGTCCTCAAAATATTCCGGGTTAATGATTTTACGCGCCTTCCAGACTCCCTGGGGACAAAGAAGGACGAAGAAAACAATTAGGACGGCTTCAGCTGGAGCGCAGACATTCAGCATCTCCAACCGGACAGGTCAGAGGGGTCACAAGTAGTAGACAGTGAACTGGCAGAGTGCTGTAGTGTGTAGGGCTGTCGCAATATGCGATAAAATGACATATCGCACACTCTCTGAAATCGCGTGTAATCATTTTTGGCGCTGCGATATTCATTTTACATATAAATGAACGTAAGCAACTTTTAAGTTGATCGCGCTGCCTCTGTCCCTTTTCCCTGTGGAGCTTATGTAGCGCGCACACAGACACAGAGCAGACACCGACGGGTGAAGAAAAAAAAAAAAGCTAAGAAGTTACCAAAAGAGAAATCAAATACAATTCTGATAAGCCCTAAACGCCTGTTTTAGTCAGTCACCTGATAGTTGGGATTGTCCACCAGAGGGGCTTTCCACTTGCCCCTGTACTCAGGGTTGTTTATCTGGGGACGCTTCCACTCCCCACAGCCGGGGGCCGTCTCACAGGCCGGGTTAGGAATCTGCGGGGCTTCCCACTCTCCATCCATCTCCTCGTCCCTGCGCACAGAGAAGAGCCGGATCAGTTCCTCGCCGCAAAAAAACCCCTGCAGACTGTGGCTTCGTTTTGGAGTAGGTGTGTGTTTACCAGTCCTCTGGTTTCTCGGCGCTGGGATCAGAGACAAACTCGTGTTCGTCGTCCAGCCAGCCCTCTGGCTTCAAAGCGTCGGGATCTTCAATCTTTGCTGGAGCCTCTTCGTCCCTGAGACACACACCGCCCTTGTTTGTTACTGGTGACGGGGTCACCGGGGCCCAATAATCAAACCCCCAATCTGCACTGTCTACGAGTATGTGATCTGCAGTCACCAGTCGTCGGGCTTGGCCGTCTCGGGGTCGGGAACCTTGGCCCTCTCGTCCCAGTCCTCCGGCTTAGAGTCATGCGGGTCGTCGATCTCTTTGGGCGGATTGACCGGAGGCACCACGTCGTTCAGCAGGCTGCCGCGGCTCACGCTAGACTGGTCTATGAACATCTCGTAGCTGTTGTCTGGGTTCAAGACTAAAAAACAGGAGGGGGGGGCAATAAATCAACGACCACAAGTGTACATTTAGAAGAAAAAAAGAAAAGTTGTTGTGGTCTGTAAGCTATTAGATTTAAAGGACTAATGGTGGACGGATATGAAGACATCCACATTCTACAAGTTGCGTCTGTACCCAGAGTGTAGAGGTGAGTCTTCTTGTCGGTGTAGAACTTCTTGAGGTCGACGTCCGCCCTCTTGGCATGCTTCTCCTCCAGGTCTTTGTTCAGAGGGTTCTGGTGGCGGAAGATGAAGTGCAGCTTGTAGTCCTCGCCGCACTTGTCTGGCCCAAACATGAGGGTGTACGCTGTGCGATCATGGAATTGTTCCTGAAGTGAAGAGAAAACGGTCTTTTAGAGAGTACCGTATTTTCCGCACGATTAGGCGCACCTAAACGCCTTCAATCGTTTCAAAAGCTGATCATGCGCCTAATAATACAATGCGCCTTGTATATGGCCCAGTATTAAAACGCATACAGGTCTCAGTTACGGTAAGCAGCCGCGACTCGATTTTCTCCCGTAATAGTGCGCAGTGCATGCTGGGATACCGGGAAACTGGCGTTTCATTTCCATTTTAATATTTTTGTAAATACCCTGAAATGGCTCCTACCAAAAGACACGCGTACAACGCTGAGTTTAAACTCAAGGCGATAAGCCACGCACAAGAACACGGCAATAGAGCAGCAGCGAGAGAATTTAATATCAATGAATCAATGGTGAGGAAGTGGAGGAAGTATGAGGATGAGCTCCGCCAAGTAAAGAAGACAACACAGAGTTTCCGCGGGAACAAAGCGAGATGGCCACAGTTAGAGGACAAAGTTGAACAGTGGGTTGCTGAACAAAGAGCAGCAAGCAGAAGTGTTAGTACAGTCACAATTCGTATGAAGGCAATAGCGCTAGCTCGCGAACATAACATCAGTGAATTCAGAGGCGGTCCTTCTTGGTGCTTCCGTTTTATGAAACGACGTCATCTCTCCATCCGTACGCGCACTACTGTGTCACAACAACTACCAGCTGATTATCAGGAAAAGTTGGCCACTTTCCGCACATACTGCAGAAACAAGATAACTGAAAAAAAGATCCAGCCAGAGCATATCATCAATATGGACGAGGTTCCACTCACCTTCGATATCCCTGTAAACCGCACTGTGGATAAAACAGGAGCACGTACGGTGAATATTCGCACCACAGGGAATGAGAAAACGTCCTTCACTGTAGTTCTCGCCTGCCAGGCTAATGGCCACAAACTTCCACCCATGGTTATTTTCAAGAGGAAGACCTTGCCGAAAGAAAACTTTCCAGCTGGCATTGTCATAAAAGCTAACTCGAAGGGATGGATGGATGAAGAAAAGATGAGTGAGTGGTTGAGAGAAATTTATGTGAAGAGACCGGGTGGTTTTTTTCACACAGCTCCGTCCCTATTGATCTATGACTCCATGCGCGCACATATCACCGAGCATGTCAAAAAACAAGTGAAGCACACTAATTCAGTGCTCGCCGTCATTCCGGGTGGATTAACAAAAGAACTCCAGCCGCTCGATGTTGGCGTCAACAGAGCATTCAAAGCTCGACTGCGAACTGCGTGGGAGCAGTGGATGACCGAAGGCGAACACACGTTCACCAAGACGGGGAGACAGCGCCGGACGACATATGCTAATATCTGCAAGTGGATAGTAAATGCCTGGGCTGGTATATCAGTCACAACTGTGGTCCGAGCTTTTAGGAAGGCAGGAATTGTCACCGAACTGCCAGACAACAGCAGCGACACTGACTCGGTTAATGATGACTTTGATAAGACGGAGCCAGGCGTTTTGGATGCCGCAATAGCCCAGCTGTTCAATTCGGACACGGAAGAAGAAGTTTTCGAGGGATTTTAGATAAGGAACTGAGAAAGTGAGCTTTACGTTTACAGAGTTATTATTGTTCTTGTTGCTTGTTGCTTTGTTGTTTTGTTTTCTTGTTAATAAAGTTTGACTGACCTATCTGACTGCTAATCATTAGATGCATAACGCATCCATCAGTCAGGCACACACGAGGCACACCACAGGACCAAAATATTTTAAGTATATTTATTGAAATCACAAATTGGCGCTAATCGTTGATAAGCACAAGATTTATTTGCACTTAATTAATTAAAAACGAGTAAAACGCAGGAAAAGTGAAATGCGCTCCACTTCTGCTAAGACGCTGTCACCTGTTTGGTTCAGCGCTGTTGTGTCTGTGTGAACACAGATCCTTTCTGCAGTGAGGATGTCACACACTCTCTCTCTCTCTGTGCGTGACTAGCGTTCTATTGTCAGGAAATATCACAGAGTGTGGCATCGTTTCATACAGCGATGATCTTTGTAAGAGTCAAAATCTCTGCGGAAACAGCCCAAGCAGCTAAAGCTCTAAGTTACAGTGTGATCGTTATTTTAACACTGTGATTTCCAGCGGAATTATTTCTTACATATCGTGTTAAGGAATATAAGTTAAGATTTATCTGAGAGCCAGATGCAGTCGTCAAAAGAGCCACATGTGACTCGCGAGCCATAAGTCCCCGACCCCTGATCTAATGGATGCGTTATGCATCTAATGGATGCATAACGCACCGTAACTCCAGCCTCTACTTTAGCGCCTTATGCGAAGCGTTTTATTAAAGGTGCGCCTTATGATGCGATGCGCCTTATATATGTAAAAATAATTAAAATACGTCATTTATTGAAGGTGCGCCTTTTGATGCGGTGCGTCTTTTCGTGCGCAAAATACGGTAAATGAAGTAAGCCAATTTCTTTTACATCTGGATGAACTACCCGGTTGTACACCAAACAGAGGAGCAATGCCCTGGAGGTTTTGTATTAACAGATCAACAAAAGCTTTATAAAGTACATTGATGTTTGATACTTTTGAAAGATATGGCCTTAAAATGGCCTGTGTATATGAAAAATCTCACGGATAAATAGAGCAAGGGAAAACGACAACACGTATACCAACCAGATTGAGATGGCCAGTGTCTGAAAGCAGTTTGATGTATGCGCCACCGCAGTCAATGCCGTCCTGGAAATTCACCTCATACCTGCCACCAGAAGACAACAAATCAACTCAACAAGTCGGGTCACATTATTTCACATGGGTTTGTAGACGTGGTGTTGGAACTCACTGTACGACCAGAGGTTCATCCTGGAAGACGAAGGGTTTGCTCAGCATCGCGGAGATGGCGTGGTGTTTGGCCCGGGACTTGAGGACCAGGCCTTGATCTCCTGGAACTTTGTTCTCCTTCAGCTGCTCCACAGCCCACTTCCCTACAGCCAGAGAGTCATTCGACATTCATTCCCCCAGACTCGGCTTTGGCACAGCTTCAGCGTGTTCGGTGCGTTAATGCGCAGTCAAGTCTCCCAAACAGAGCAATGACACTGCAAAGTGTTATCACGGCCAGTAGCGATGGGGCCCCAGAGAAGAAAGCGAGCCTGTGGAACTATCTTTAATACATTGTACATGGCAGTCTGTGCGAGGTCAAGATAAAAACGGCAAGTTGTGCCTCTGTTCAAGCTCTTATCGCACACGGCAAGATAAACAGAGGAGGCAAAAAAGGGGGGGAAAAAAAAGGACCAACCGTCATATTTGGCGATTTCATCATCTGCATCCCCCTTCACCGTCTTTGACAGCTGCCAACTGTGGGGATCAACATCATAAACCCCTCAGCTTCCACACAACTAACCAGGAACACACTACGACCACCAAATGTGTACGTTTATCCGTGGTCGCAGGCTATGTTAGATTTGTCAGGATATACCTTTCCAGTGAGCCATCATCAAAGGTCTCTGCGAAGTAGACATCTCCGGTAGGTACGGGAGTCTTGTATGTTACCTGGCAAACAGAGAAACATGAATCAGTGGTTTGTCTAGAGGCTGCGTGTAAAGCTTTTACACACTTCAGTTTGACAATCGAACCTGTGACCCACTTCTGACCTGGAAGGAGACATTTGCATCTATTCCTGCCTTCCCACTTGCTGTGGCATCCGTCTCATCCGAGTGGACCTCATCCATCACCGTCGCCTCCTCCGCCTCCTCTTCCTCCTCCGCCTCCTCTTCCTCCTCTGACATTAGAACCTTTAATTCCTCATCGTCCAATCCCATATCTTCATCGAAGTCTGAAATATCAACCTCCAACTGCTTCCGCGCCGCAGCTCCCACAGCCAGCGAGGACAGGAGCAGCACACAACACACCCACCCCCTTTCCACCTTCATCTGTGGGGGGAGGGTAGAGATAGGAGGGGGTTGAGTGTGCGATAAGGGCATCAGAGATGAGCATGGTGAGGATGAGGGGGTGGTATAAGTATAAGGGGATGGGGAAAAAAGGGGGCAGGTGTGAGATGTTATTTATGGAGAGCAATGACGGGGGCGGGGGGGGGATTTTAGTTCCCATGCTACCGTTCTTCTACTAGGTAACAGAGAAAATACATGTACAATGTATCCTAATTTTTTGGGAGATTATTCACAAAATCCTAATATTTCTGTTGTAAAAAGTGGCCACATTTGAACCCTTAATGAATTGGCTTCTTGACAAACACGACCTTTGAAGTCGAAACTGAGTAGTGAGTCAGTTCTTTGGTCTTTCTATTCTATAAGATTTTTATTTGGGTCGATAAAAGAACTAACTGCTGTGGAAGCGTGATACTTTATGAGGGTTCAGCTGCTTTACAAAAATACAAATATTCCCCACAGGCATAATCATTTCAATATTGGCCTTCTTGTGAATTTTTAGGCCATTTCGTCATGAAAGATGCATTGTCCTTTTTTAAGAAATGTATCACTCCAACATTTCCATAAATGTGCAGGGTAGCTAGCTTTCCCATTTGCAGCTGTCCTTCGACACCAACCAAGTGATGGGTCACATTTACCGACAGAAGGCCACAAGCCACGCAGAGCAACGGGACACAGAGACACATCGGAACAACGCCACATGCACAACACAGCCAAGACGTACAGACTGTAACTGCGCTTCACACATGCAGGGCAGCCATTAAAACACTCCTCACCCTCGTGTTGATCTGGCTGAAACGTGAACAGATCCCGTGAGTGAGTAAAATGGTAATAAACAGCTACAGTAGATCGTAGCTCGTGGTTTTAGAGGCGTGTTAAACACGCATTTATCGCCGACCTAGTTATTCGACCTGGATGTCACTTGGCATAGACGGGTTCGTTCCCCGTGCAGCTTCGCTGAAGCGTTAACGTTACCCCCTTTGCTCGGGTAACCACCGGTACCAGCCCCGGGTCCAGAGGCACACAGGAAAGGTCACGCGGAAGGGTTGAGGAGCTAACATGGCTGCCACGGAACACTGCAATATCCAAACCGTTTTGGATAAATGGCTTCAACACCTGCTCGGGGAGCTAGCTCGCTAACTAGCTAGGCTACGTGAACAGACATCGCGCTCATCATTAACTTAAATACAGCAAACGCTAGCACAACACGAGCTTAGCTGGTAAACCAATGGGCTTATACGGTGAGCCCATTAATTAATTAAACGTGCCACGGAAAGGGAGTGTTGACAGTGACGAAATGGACAGCAACGGTTAGCTTGCTATATCAGTAACGTTAGTAATGTCGCCATGGGAGAGAATGAAGGAGCGCGCACGCACACACACAAACCTTGAGCCTTTCTTTTTTTTCAATTGCGTAGAAAATATCTTGGTAAAAAGCTTTATACTCCTCTTTAAAAAAACAATGCAGGAAGTATATTGTGCGTTTCGCCTGCTGGAATGACCGCCGTGTACCGCTGGTAGACACACGGATCTGGGCTGAAAGGGACGCTACGCTGATGACAGCTCGTCCCGGGTAACGGACAACCCTGTAAGCAACGGGTCCCGCGATTCAGCACGGCGCATGCGCACACTGTGCAGGTTAGATAGCGCGAATGCTGCCTTTAGGTGCAGCAGAATATTAGCCGAGATGACGCTACGGGAGTTACTCATGGTAGATCGTATTCTTTTTTAATAAGATACGCTTTTAATTAATTATATTTGCATTGGAGTGAATTCATAAATAATTTCAATCATTTTTATGTTTTGTGGAGCATTATTTAGCTGTAGAGTTATTCGGTAAATATTTTACCAAATACCAACAATTCTCAGGGGGAAAATGGTAGCTGGTTGAAAAAGTTTTAAAAGTCAATAAAAACTCGATTGACAACGGTTTATTATGTTGGTGTTTTAATAAAAGGCTGTTAATATTTACAAACGAGTTCACCCCATAAGCATTTTATGGCATCAGCTGTAAACGTCACAGCTGCCTTTCAAAGTAAGAGCTTACTTTTTACTAAGCTCGTTCCGTAGGCATATACTGGCAAAACATATTTGGCTCAATATGAATATAATTATACATTCACAAATACGGCAACAGCCATCCCACCATCATTTCAAAAAATTCAAATAAAGAAAAAATAATTCCGCTTCTTTACGACGACGTGTAGTATACACTTCCGGGGTAGAGTTCAGAGAATTTCAATCGTCGCCACATGCTCGTCGGATCAGTGGCGCTGCCGTTGTGAATTACATAAAAAAAAATCTTTCTGCGGTCGCCCTCCTCCCCACAAAAGCAGAATGAAGGAGACGCTGCTGTCTAACTGTGAGCGGGATTTCTTGCTCCAAGCGATCGCAGAGAAGAAGGTGAGCGGGTTTCTGAGTATTTTCCACTTGTGTAAAACTGTTCCACCGTTGGAAAAAACACCGTACGTATATATTTGGCATAACACGCTTTAGGTGGAACTTCAATGCATTAAATAACCGTCGGACTGTCACCAAACAAGACGGTTCGGTCCCCGAACTGCTTTGGGGGGGGTTTGCTGTCTCGAAGTGTCTCATAAGTGTCTCTGCAGCGTCTGGATGGACGACAGACGTACGACTACAGGAAGATGAAGATCACTTTTGGGACCGACTATGGATGCTGCTTTGTGGATCTGGGAAAAACCAGGTGACGCTAAGGCGATATTGATGTAAAGTGTGTCTAAGTGTTCAAACCTCTCCAGACATTTATGGCTCGATTAACCCCAAAGTTGGCTACACAGTTTTTCCTTTCTGTCAATTTGAACAGTTTTGGCATTCGTGCACCAATTCAAAATGTCATGTTCATCGCTTTTATAGACTCAAACATTTGTTTTGCTTGTCTGCATTGCAATTATATTGTGCAAAATCGAAGTGAGCACTTCTCCATGTAATTCGCACAGATTCCGATGAATGTAAAGTGTAAAGCGCTGACGTTATATTTTCGGTGTTAATGGGACGTCAATGTACCGCGCTCATCAGGGTCATGGCCCAGGTCTCATGCGAGCTTGTTGCTCCTAAAGAGAGCCGACCAAACGAGGGAATCATGTTCTTCAACATCGAGCTGTCACCCATGGCTTCGCCGACATTTGAACAAGGCAGGTGAGGAAAAAAAGGAAGGAGGTTATGTTCATTTCTCCCCATTCTCCCACTTCTTTTGTTCCAACTATCGGTGCAGAGAGTGTAAATGGCCTGTGATTTTCCTGTTGACCTCTCCAGACAGTCTGAGTTGTCGGTGAAGTTAAACAGACAGCTGGAGAGATGCTTGAGGAACTCCAAGTGCATCGATACTGAGTCCCTGTGTGTGGTGTCTGGAGAAAAGGTTAAAAACGCGCATGCACACATTTCCGAGAGAAGAAGAGAGAAGAACCTCGTGATGATCATCATGATGATGATTTCAGGTGTGGAAGATCAGAGTGGACGTTCACGTGTTGAACCATGATGGCAACCTGATGGACGTGGCCAGCATCGCCGCCATCACCGCTCTGTGCCACTTCAGACGCCCGGACGTCAGCATCCAGGGGGATGAGGTCACGGTGGTGAGTCCGCAACACACACACACACACACACACACACACACACACAGCAGGTGGTGTCTCTGCACCGCCGAGCCTGCTGGAAAAGAGCATGCCGAACTTTTCACATTGTGTTTTGCAACTCGTGTCCTGTAACAGTTTTCCTTCTTTGTGGTTGAAATCCTGTTTTGATTTATGTGCCCTCTTAGTACAGTCCAGAGGAGAGAGACCCCATTCCTCTGAGTATCTACCACATGCCCATCAGTGTCAGCTTCTCCTTCTTCCAACAAGGGTAAGGCATCACATGGGAATACAGATCATTTTCTGGCCGTTTTTGTCGCCCCAAAAAAAAAAAGATGGGATAGTCACATTTTTTGGATAAATAGTCAAAGTAAGGAGTTAAGACACGTGCAGGCCCCACGCAGCTTGTTGTTGACATCAGGGCGGTTACAGAGAGGTGAAACAACGGTTCGCTTTCGACCTATTGGACCGGGAAGTCCGGATCTCTGAATAGCTGAATTGCCGCACCAGTGTGCCAACTCTTCAGCAAGGAAAAATGGGATGAACGTTACCCTTCATCCGACCACGTGTTCTTCCTCTCGTTCTGCAGAACCTACCTGCTGGTGGACCCCTGTGAACGGGAGGAGCGGGTGATGGACGGCTTGCTGATGATCGCCATGAACAAACATAGAGAAATCTGCTCCATTCAGTCCAGCGGGGGCATCATGTTGCTTAAAGAGCAGGTCTTGACAATACAGCACTGCTGGTTTTGAGGCCATGGAGTCTCGATTGTTCTCTCAAAAATAATGTCGCTTACTTCACTATAGAGCTTCACAAGCGTCTGTGCTTGCTGTGGCGGACGCTGCCTGAAACACTCGAAAGATAAATGTATAATAAGAAGAAACACTTAACAAATGTTGACACTGATGTGTTTTGTGTGTTTGCGGTTGAAGGTTATGAGATGCAGTAAAATAGCCAGCGTGAAAGTGTCTGAAATCACAGAGCTCCTAATCAAAGCCCTGGAAAACGATAAGAAAGCAAGGTGAGCAGAGGCATCACGCGGCCGCGCGTCGGTATCGTGGAAGTGGACATTTCGAGCGTTTCGGCGTTTTGCCTCTGGAGGTTACACGCCAGCTCCGTATTTATCTTTTGCACCTTCCAGGAAGGAGGGCGGCAGGTGTGGTTTCGCGGAGTCCATGCCGCAGGAGCGAATCACAGCACTGAAATTTGAGGAGACCTCAGTGGAGATGACGGATGTCGCAGAAAGGGCCAGCGACGTCGTCCAAGGAGCCGAAGCTCCGCCGCTGATGTATCCTGAACTCGGCCTGAATAAAAGCCGCATCTGCCATAATGTCTACCTTTTTTATCCGGGACGTTAACCTGTCATTCCCATCGTGGCTCCTTAACCATGCAAACTAGGGTGCCTTCCCCCGTGGTGCCCGTCCCCGGTGTGGGTCAGGTGGGGCTGGGGCTGCAGAACACCTGGGGACTGGAGGAGGAGGACGACGACGAGGAGGAAGAAGCAGAAGAATGTGCCAACAGGGGTGAAGAAGGGGAGGAAAAGGTTACAAAGATGGAAGTGGAACGCCATAAAAAGGACGCGAGCAGAGAAGGTCAGTTTACTTAAAAAGAAAACAATATCAACATAAGTAAAAGGTGTGCAAGTGAGGTTTCTGCTTCCAAGGACCGGCAAAGATTAGGAAAAATAACAGTAGTTTAATAGAAAAGGTGAAAGATGTCAAACCAGCACCACAAGGGGCCTAAATATATGTTATTGATGATTAAGCTGAGGTAATATAAAAGATTATTCTGTTACTATGTTTGACTTTCTTTTCTTGCAGAAGATGTGGTTGTGCTATCTGACAGTGAAGAGGAGGAAGTGGTGGTTCTTCATCCAGAGACATCAGCCAAAACTCCAAAGTGGGTGCAGCAATTGCGTCTTCTACGCACAGCAACTGACCATGTCTGAATGTTGTTGTTTAAAAAAAAAAAAAATGTAAATCCCTTTTCTTGCTCTTAGCACTGCAGGACCCAGATCTCACCAGAATGGGGCAGCAACATCAAAGAAAAGAAAGAAAAAGTGAACGCGGTTTCCATGAAGCTCCCTGCAGCCAGAGATCTACATTCTCTGCTCCTCCTCGTCAAAACAAAGGCCCCCATTCCGGCTTCAATGATTCCCAACAGAACATGAAGTCTACTTCTTGTTTGAGTCGATTTTCAAACGGACTGCATCTACAAATACGAATATTTTATGCAATGAAAGAATTTTGATAAGTAGGATTGAATAAAGGTTGTAAAGGGCTTTTATTTTGTATGGAAGGGGGGTGGTGTTTATTGTTTATCGAAATAAAGAGATGAATACGTTGCCGGTGTAGTTTTTACGGACTTTCTGCTTATATATTACAAAACGTGTAAACTATCACGCATTAATAGATATGTGGTTACATTTGTGTAAAAAAAAAATAATAATAAAAAAAAAAAAATTGGAACCTGAAAAAAAATTCAGGTTCCACCGAGATTTGAACTCGGATCGCTGGA